TTTACGAAAGTGGTTACTGTGGAGAAGCTGAAGTCTTGTTCAGCTTTTGTGGGTCTCTCAGCTTGAGGACAGGAGGAAGAGTTGCAGGGGGGATGAGAGATTGTGTTTTTGGAAGGATTGCAGTTTTGATGTTGGTGTTTGAACTAGTCTCCAAGTAGGAGAATTGTTGATTTTTTGTGGAGTCTAATAATTTGTATATGTGATCCGGATGATGATTCGATCCGAAGTAATGTTGTGTGATTTTTTAATAGATTTTTTTCTGAGGCTTAGTCCATGGAGCGAAGGCTTGGGCTAATAGGCTCAAGCCATAGTGCTCATGGACAAGCCTTGTGGGGCGAGGAAAATTTTTTGGCCCGTTGTTTTGGTGATTAGGGTTAATATGGTGAATTGTACAGCCGCTCTCTATATTCAACTCTCTCAATAGTGAAATCCCTGCAGTTTCGTGAACGTAGGCAAGTTGCCGAACCACGTAAAATCTGTGTCTTATTCTTTCTTGTTTCTTATTGCTTTATATTCTTGATTTATTCTTCGATTGTGTGTGTTTATTAGTGAATTTAAATTGTTGTTAATTCCCAACATCCCCCATCCCCGAAGCACATTCCAGAAGAGAAACAGAAAAAGACAAGTCCAGCAAACTGGACATCAAGACAAGAACATCAAAAAGAAATATCAAACAGCAGTACCAAGCAGAATAACAAACGGCATCGTCAGCCGCAGCATCAAGCACAGCCACCATAAAGACATAGCAGCCAAAGCAAGCACCAGCAAAACAAAATCTGCACATGCCACATGCCCCACCAGAGGTGCGCCTAACACCAAAAACAAAAACCCACCAAGACAAATACCAGCAACACGTCACTTGCCCCCAAAGTGGTACACCCAGCAAGCAATATGCAGCAGTGTGGTAAGAGCAGAATCCAAAACAACCAGAATGCAACCAGCAGGAGCCATCCATGAAAGCATCAAGAACAGCCAACAGCAGCAAAACATCACCCACCCAACACCAAACAGATAGGCAGGCCTGGATAGCCTGCAGCAAAACACCATAAAACAGAGCAAAAAAACAGAGGAAGGACCATTGCAGCACTGGTACAAAAAGAACACCACACCCTCCACTCATATCCACAAACAAACGAGTCACAAGCATTCCATTGGAAAGGCCAACACCAACAAAAATTCATCCACAAATGGTTATATCAAAAATTTGGTCAGGCAAGGCCCATTGTCTTTGCAACCATGCATTAGGATTGTTTCTTTTGATTCCATGGCAAGCATTAAGCTTGAGTCTAACATTTTCCACAATCTCCTTATAAATGGAAACCACATCTCTATAGGAATTTTTAAAAACCCTGTGATTCCTCTCCCTCCAAATCATATATATTGAGGTGGCGAGCATCAATTTGCCAATCAGCTTTGGAAAGGTCTTTCCCTTCATATTTGCAGCATATCAGTTAACCAAATCAGGTCAATCAAGTCTTGGCCATTGAACATTCACTTTTCCTTTCAATGAAACCCATATTCTCTCGGTGAAAGGGCAATCAAAAAAGAGATGGTTATGAGTTTCCACTTCTTCTCTGCAAAACACACGATGAGTTAATTGAATAACACCATATGATATAAGCTTGTGTTTGGTGGAAAGCCTATTTTGAACAGCCAGCCATAAAATAAAACTATATCTAGAAACAGCACCAGAAAACCATACAATATCAACCCAAGTTTGCGTCTAGCCCTTCACTCTAAGCACCTCCCAAGCAAATTTAGAGCAAAAATCCTTGGTTCTAGATGGCAGCAACAAGACACAGTCACTCTGACTCAGGTCAGGTTTCATATTAGGAGACATACCACTGAGCAGCTCCATTATATCCCCACTTGTCGTCGGCCAATCCCAATCACCATTATTAATGATAGATATAACTTTAGCATCTCGCCCAAGCCCTGATTCCCTAATAATGGACTCTCCCTTATGCTGGTAGATAGAACCTATTGGGTGCTATGGATCAAACCAGAGAAATATTGAGGCACTATTCCCAATCTTGTAATTCACCATTGATAAACTTTCCTTTCTCAGATTTAGAATCTTTCGCCATGCCCATGATGACTTTTGAGGGATCTTCACATTCCAGAAGCTCCTACCTTTTAGAAGATACCAATAAATCCAATCCACCCATATTGAGTTGTCCCTTTTGCTAATAACATTCCATAGATGCTTCATAATAGCTACCTTGTTCCACTGTTCCATGCTTTCAAACCCAAGTCCTCCTTCTTCCTTTGGGAGACACACTTTGTCCCACGCCACTTTGGCTCCAGATATTTTAAGATCCGTACCAGACCATAAGAATCTTCTCATAATTTGCTCCACTGCTTTGACTACTTTTTTTGACAATATAAATAAAGAAGACCAATAACCTTGAATTGAAAAGAGAACTGAATTGATCAGTTGTACTCTGTCAGCATATGAAAGTGATTTGTTGCACCAGGAACTTACCTTGGCAGTAATTCTCTCAACCAGCGACTGACAATCCCCAGTCCTCAATTTAGTGGTAATGAGAGGGACACCCAGGTATCTCATAGGCAATTCATCTCCTGGAAATCTCATTAACTGCATTATTTTCACTTTCTCCACATTATTAATGCCAGAGCAGTAAAAATGACACTTGCTTGGATTAGCTTTAAGCCCAGAAAGTTCTTTAAAAATATGGAGAGCTTCCTTGATAGTTCTAATTGACTCAATATTTTCTTTACTGAAGATCATAACATCGTCAGCAAAGCAAAGATGAGACATATCCTCCTTTCCACATCTCCAATGATGATTGAATTTCCCCAGCTCAGCTGCCTCCTTCATAATGCCATTAAAACCCTCCATTGCGAGCACAAAAAGATAAGGAGACAAAGGATCTCCCTGTCTTAAACCTTTTTCCCCCTCAAAATAACCTTTCAACTCACCATTAAGACTCACTGAGTACATAGGGGAAGTAATACACGTCTGAAACCATCTAATCAACTGTTGGGGGAAACCTATGGCTTGCATCACTTCAAGAATAAACTCCCACCTTACATTATCATAAATCTTAATAAGATCAATTTTCAATGTACATCTAGGACTCCCTCTATCCAGATGATAGTTCCTTAAGAGTTCTTGGGAAAGAAGAATGTTATCAGAAATTCTTCTACCTTGTATGAACGCAGTTTGAGATTTTTCAATTAACCCAGGCAGCACTCCTTTGATTCTGATGGCCAAAATCTTTGAAATACATTTATAAATGATGTTACAACATGAAATTGGCCGATAATCGTTGAGCATAGAAGGATTAGGGACGTTGGGAATCAATGCAATAATGGTAGAATTAACTTCCCTTAACAGCTTTCCAGAAACAAAGAACGACATGATGGCATCAGTTACTTCCTCACCCACAATTTGCCATGTTTTCTTGAAGAATCCAGCGGGAAAACCATCAGGACCTGGAGCCTTCCCATCCTTCATTGAGAATAATGCACGCTTGATTTCATCTCCGGTGACATCAAGGGACAATTGAGCTGCAAGATCTAAAAAGATTCTCCTTCTGATGTAGTGATTAATCCACTACAAAACTTGCTATTAACTTCCCCCAAGAGGAACATGTAACTGAACGGGAAAAGGATGTAAACCCCTATGACCGTCGATTCCTCCAGTCGCCTAACCCTCTTCTATTCCAATCGTCCTTTCTTCACTGCCACACCATATCATCCTATCTTTACAAGTCATAATCTTAGAGGACTCTTTAATGTACAAGTTTCACACCCACTAAAATTAGATCAACAGACAACCCTATCATTAGTACAGTTAGTTAGCTGGAGATAATCATCTGATTTTCACAATAAAAAAATAAGAATATTAAATAAAAATGACATAAATGTCTTCATAACTTAACTCTTCCCATGATTCTAGTGATCATCAAACTCAAATACTGCATTAATTTACCCCATCTCAGAATAGACAAGGCCTCATTGAACATACACACAAACACTTTGTGTGTGTGTGTGAGTGAGAGAAAGAGAGACTAAAACTAACAGTTCTGGTATAACAATATCAGAGAGAAGATGTTTGAGACATGATTAAACCACTGCATTCATGTAGGCCTTAGTTTTAGTCTTAAGTTAGGTTACATAACTCACAAGATTTTTTTTTTTCTTCAATTTGGACCATTTCTCGATTTGTGCGTGTCATCCTTGCGCAAGGGTCATGCTAATCTTCTCTGTATTGTTCTAATTTTATCGAATGTCCCCAAAGGGACACTCACGAGAATAATCAGAGACAAAAAAGATTATTGCACGAGAAAGACTTCTCAAAAGGTGGGCTTATGGTTAGATTATGATCAGTGAGTCTCTAAAGGAAAGTCCTCCTAATTGTGTGTAAGAATCCTACAATTAAAGACAATTTGAACCAATTCTAATATTGAACTTGAAAAAAAAAAAAAAGAGAGAGACAGAGACAGATGGAGGGTCATTCTCAGCATAATTGGAGAAAAATATGAAAATGGAGCTAAGTCCTTATATTGAAAAAGTGCTTAATGGGAAAAAATTTTCTCTAATTCATGTCACCTTTTGTATGTTTACCTTTTATTCTTACTAGGGTATTCATTCAAAATTCTTAAAAGCCTGAATATTTGATTTTATTTGCTGCCCTAGCTAGTAATGTGATAGTTGACATTAATAACATCAACTAATGCAGCGTTGTTTAGTATTTCAACTTCAAAGAAAATAAATAGTAACCCGTAATAGATAAACATTTGTAGATTGATAGTAAGATTCTCTATAATACGCTCTTCCCCCATTTTCATCTTGGGTAATATCATCTACCCTATTCTTTCAAGTTGGAAACTGGGGTATGTAGTCGAGTCTCCAATTAATACATGGTGATTAATTTACGCAAGAGGAAAATTGATTAAAAAGTATCGATTGTAATCTGGATTTGGTAGATTAGATAGTGTCTACACTTAAATTTCTACCAAGTATTGATTTGTGTTTGGACTTCCGAGCTTATATTGCTTTATTAATTACCACTAAACTCATCACAAGTTAAAAGTTAGAATTACAAAACATGCAAAAAGGCCTTCATTGCTTCTTCTTCTCCAATTTATCCCAATACTCATTTTCCCACATCTCCACTTGCCTTGTTGATTTTCCCTTTCTCTCTAAAAAGGCTCCAAGAGCCGAAGGATCATAGGGAGGAGGCATGGTGCAAGGAATCGAGTCGGCTGGAGACTTCACCAACGATTCCTCCATGAACTCCCTCCAGTTTCCGTCCACCGGACACGCCATTGTTTCCGGGCAAAGCTCTAGGGCTTGTTGTGGAATGGTAGGTTTAAACTTCAAAAGCTTTGCATATTCGTTTAAGAGATGGAACATGTAATCATACACATAATCCATCTTCATATCCTCTTGAATAAAGCGACTTGCAGCCTCCCCAATGGCTTGTGCCTGGTTTGCATGCATATTCATCCAATTTAGAAGCTAATAAAAGGGATTAAAGACACACTGGGGTGGCAATTATTGACACTTAAAACCCAAAATGAAAGTAGCAGGTTAGAATTGACATGTAATCTCAAAATGACACAACCTACTAATATGAATAATAATTGGGCCGATTAATGTAAAACTTGAAAATACCAACGTAAAATATAAGAAACTTGTGTAGTTGGTATAATTTAATATGGATAAATTTTTTTTATATTTTTTTTAATTTTTTTCATTCCTTGATGTGATGATGTCCGAATCTTTTTATGATTAGACAATTTTTTTATGGTTAGTAAATAAGACTAGTTAGTGTTAAAATATTTGACATGATCAATTAAACATGTTAAGTTATGATCGACTAGTATATACTACGAACCCAAAACAACACGATACAATGCAACTAATTTGCTAGGCCTGACTATGAATAGGGTTAATAATTAAGCCGAGCTATTCGAGTAAGACTTGCCTCAAGGTCGGCTCGTGTTTTAAAATGAATCGAGTTTGAACAATTTTTTAAACTTGTTTAGAAAAACGAGATTACAAAATTCGGCTCGTTTATATATAAAATAGTTAGGCTACTTAGGCTCAACTCATTTTCTAAATCAGTCGAGGTTGAACAATTTTTTAAGTTTATTTAAAAAAATGAGCAAGATCGACTCGATTATCAGTCATAAGTATGAATGCACTTACGAATGGATACAACTTTACCTTTTCAGTGTGATTATTGCCCCATTCCACAGCAAATTTAAGGGATCTGCACTTGTCGTTGTCTCTAACGGGCCAGTAGTGCTCCAATGGTACCATTCCTCTTATAAAGAAATCATAGTACCTTGGTGTTATCAGCAAGGTTGGAGAGTTGCATGCTAAGATGTACTTTTCACTTACAGACCATGCCCATCCTTCTATATAGATCTTGTATCTAATGCATGTTGGTTATGCACAAGGAAGTTCACAATCCCATCAGTATGGGGGAGAGAGAGAGAGAGAGAGAGAGAGAGAGAGACAGCAAAAAAAAAATAGTGACCTGTGGGTACATTGATCTTCAAGATTTGATTGCTTGTATCCTTGTTTGGATTCTTTATCCCAGTCCTGATAAATAATATCATGTAAGAAATAGTTGTGTAACATGTCACAGCCCTTCTAATGTACCATGTGCCCACCATGCTCACAAAATTAGTGAGATCCACTTAGGTATAATGAGTCTTTTTCAAATTCATGACATGCGATTTACTAATGAAATAAATCGAGAAAAAATATATTACAAAACGATTCAATTCCACAAAATTGCATTTTTAACATAAAACTCTCGTCCATGTTTTATAAATACGAATTTTTTGTTAGTTTTTCACTTACACTCTAAACCTAAATGATTGTATGGACTTAGATCTCTTTCAGTATATTTTTTCTCAGTTTTTTATGTATGATATATATCATGAATTAGTAGGAGATCCACTTACACGATGGATCTCATTTGAATTAACTATGAGTGACCTAACAATATTGAGAAAAATGAAAAATATTTACTGAAAAAGATCTGGATCCAAGCCTTATTAAGGAATGCATCAAGTGAAAGAATAATCAAGTTACCTGGACATAGAGGAGAGTGTTCCAATCATCTTTATCAGTAACATTGCACTTCATGAGGTCTCCCCTGTTTGGGGTCACATGTGGATTGCCCCTCCAATAAGCTAAGGGTACCCTGTCCTTCCACTTGATTCTCTTGTTTCCTTCTTTGATGTCTTCTAGCACATTCTTCCAAGGCCTTATGTGGGTCTCAGCCCTACCAAAGAAATATATTCTTCACCCTTTATTTCCCAAATCACGAGTAACGTTATTTGGACGTAATTTTTTTATTTTTAATTAATTATTATCATTGGATTATCGGTCGATTTTTATATTGAATAGTCTCCACTATCAATCCAACAAAAGTGAATTAGAACGATAAATTAGATTCACGGGGAATTATCATCCCCAATATATTTCCCGTAATACATCTTCAAGAAGAACATAAGATGACTATAGAACATGGATTTGGATCCTCTCCCGTACATTTTTTCTCAATTTCTCAAAATTATGAAATTACTCATCATGTATTGGTGAGAGACTCCTTATATATAAGGGGTCATAGTTTAATTTACGATATTTTATCTACCATTGAGAAAAATTAAGAAAAATGTATTAGAGAGGATCTAAATCAAGCATTATTGTCCACCCAATTTATTGCTGCTAGTGTGTTTAAAGGATCCAATGTCAATCCAAATGCAATGGCACATGAGTCAACAAATTGGGTTCAATTAATTGACATGCTTGGAGTTGGCTTAAAATCTCAATTTTTTTTAGTTTTAGAGGAAAATAAGTCTAGTATATTCGGACATGAATTTATTGGGCGGCTTTTTCATCAATTTTTTAGGCAAAAATATCAACATTAAGAAAAAGTTGAAAAATAGGACTTATCTTAGGGATTCCACTCTAAACTGTTCTAAAAGCTTTATTAACTCTCACTTTTTCATTTTACTTTTTAAACCTTTGCTTTGCACCTAAACAGCCAGCTCCAAATGGGCTCAATATCATTGTGACAAAAATGAAGAGGAAGAATAAAAAAAACTGAGAGAGACATTACCATCCCCAAAATGACCAATCTGGAAAAACAATATCCAAGCTCCATCCATCGGAACAATACCGGAACAACGGCGGTGGGCCGGCATTGGGTCTCTGGTAGTCCCTTCTTCGGACAACAGGCCGATCATCGCAGTCGAACAGCAGCTCCAAATCAGGCAACTTTCCAGGATACCACCTCACAAGCTGCATAAACCCCCACATAGTAAACAAAGCTCTAGTCTGAATGGACTGCCTATACTTCTCCACATACACCTTCCCATCTAAAATCACCAGCCTAAAGTGCGCATTTATACGCGCTTTCTCCACCATCTCCCGGGTAATTCCGGTCTCTTTCCAGTGCCGTAGATCTTCATGGATCCATCGGAAATAATCCGGGCATGTGGGGTTGGAGGAAAAGACGTCTTTAGCGGGTTTGTGTGTAGTTGGATAGTTTTTTGGGCATGTATTTGTCTGGTTCCATGCAGTACATTCTAGAGGGAATTCAAGAGTTTTTGGTTTTCTTTTGAATATTAGGTAGGTGGAATTCTCTGGATATAAAGACTGCATACAGAAAGATGAATCATTAACCACTTAAACAAATGATTAGGAGAGTTGAAGATGATTTTAGTTTGTGACTGCCAAAATGATGAATTAATGGTTGGGTTGATGCAAAAAGTGAAATGGAACAATGTTTAAAGACGACTAAACGAGTTTGGGTGCTATTCTTTTGCTCTTTTTCTCTTTTTTTTTTTTTTGTTGTTTGGACTAACTAGGAGATATTCGGGCATCTTAAAGTCCTCGTCTAATATTATTAAACATATACAGTTTCTCCCATCCAACACGCACCATGGAATTAGAGAGATAAAATCTCAAGAGGATGGCCCCAAGGGATTAGAAAAGTTTGATAATGACGTCATGAGTTACTTATACTTGATAAATTATGTAATTACGTAACGGTGTATTTGGCACGTGATAATGAAGTATGGAAATGAATTAACTATTACTTAATAATGTTCATTCTAATGTTTGGAATGCAGTAACGACAATTTATTCTCATTACTATATATGGAATACCTAATTTCACCGGTGTAGGATTTGTCATTTTTAAATATTTTGTGATATTTCTCTTTTCCAACTGCCATCACTCGTCGTTGTCACCAACACCACTACCCCACCTCCACCCAGGGTCTGGGTCTAGGGACGGAGTTGGGTGTGGGGCTCAAGTCTAGGTTTAAAGTTAGGTCTAGGGACTAGTTTGGGTCTGGGGTTCAGGTCGGGCCCAGGGTCTAGGTCTAGGGTTCAGGTTAGGGCTCAAGGTCTAGATTTGGGGTTCAGGTCTACGGTCAAGTCTAGATCTAGATCTGAGGTCAAGTTTGGGTCCAAGTCAGATCTTAAGTCTAGGTCCATACTAGATTCAGGGTTTGGATTTTGGTTAGAGTCTGAGTTCAAGTCACTATCTAGGTTCATGGACAAGGTCGAGTCTGGGTCCAAGTCAGGATCAATGGTCGAGTTTGGTGTCCGAGGACGTGGTCGCATTTGGGTCTAAGATCGAGGTTCGATATTATGTCGGGTCAGGTTGCCAGATTCAGGTTTGGGCCAGGGTTTAGGCTCGAGTCATGGGTCCAAGTGTAGAAATTATTAAAATACTTAAGTGAATTTTCAACAATATTCCAACACTTAATCTTAATTGTTATCAAACATTAGAATGGTAACGTACATTTCATTCTATTCACTTATTTATACTTGAGAAATTATGTAATTGCAATAAAATGTCGTCAAAGAGAAAGAAAATAAAGCCAAAGGGAAAAGAAAAAGAATATAAACAAATTTCGAGTTACTATATACTTAGTAAAAATTTAATAACTAAATCATGGAATCTCTATTTAAACTTTAATACACAAATGCCAATGACACACACATCACACAAAGAGCAATTACTTTTGAACCTTGTATATATAGTTTGGATTTGTAGAGTAGATATTGACCAAAAAAGAGAGTTTGGAATTTTAATGAGAGTAGATATCCCATTAAAGGGAATCTACTCAAAATTATTAACTAACTATGAAAAATTAATGTAGGAACACTTAACAAAAACTAAATTAATTACAAATCCTAACTATTATGAGTAACACTACACTCACCATTGTAATATCATATCATTTAGTCCCTTTTTTTTATCAGTGTAACATTAATGTATTATTATTATTTGTCCTAATATTTTGAGGGCGTGTATTTTCATATGTAAAAATTTAAAAAAAAATTATAAAGGATAGGTGTTTGATCTCAAAGACCTTACAATGGTTTAATGCAAGATTCTATAGAAAAACTTGACCATGCATGAACTTGGTTGAGCTTTGTTCGAGACTGAAAACTATGGGGGAAAAATCCAAGAATTACCCCCTCTAAAATGAGGAGGTCATTTTCTATCACTTATCTTTTCTAGACTTGTTGTATGTGTGGTATTGTGGTTAGCCTTACGACTTTTCAAAATAAGAAAAAACAATGCATGGAACCCAGGAAAAAGGATTAAAATTTCTAAAATTGCTACTTCAAGATAAGAAAATGATTAGAAAAGTTCTAAATATTCATTGTTTTTCTTTATTACGCCATTTTGCAGTGTATTGTGCGGGATATCACTAGTACAGGCAGAAGAAAATGAAATGAGAAAGACAAAAAGAAAAGAAGGGACCGAAGAATGCATGGAATTTATGTTATAAAGGGTTGCATAAGGACTTACAAGGTCAAACCAGTGAGCAACAAGTAATATGGCAAGAAAGAGGAAGAACAGAAGAACACTAGTCTTCGAGGTGGATTTCTTCTTCATGAATGATCGCCATCCGCTTCCCATAGAGTTCTTCTGAAATGCAGGCCGGAGCCAGAAGATATTTGCTAATCTTTCGTTGTATTTTTTCATGATTTTAGCAGCTTCTCTGGTCGCGGAGAGGACAAGCTCAACTGAGGAATTTTTTTAAATGCTATAACAGAGAAAGAGAGGACTTTCTATTCCTAGGTGCTCCTCCGAGTCTCTGACAATTCGTTGAGACTGTTAGGTACTAAGTTCTGGTTTTGTGAGAATTAGACTCACCTATTTATGTCAGCAATTTATTGGTGCATGTTAGATGAAAAATTATATATGTCAAGTACATGTTAAATTAGTTTGAATATTTTTGGTCGTTAAACTGAAAAAAAAAATAACAGATAGGGAAAGACTAGGTTATGCCCTCAGAGATGGCTCTCAAGTCTCAAAAATTAAAATTTTCACCACAAATTTTATGTAATTTCATATTCGATCACCTAAAGTTTTGATTATTGTGATGGGTTTTTTTTTTTTTCATTTCGCTTCCACTTTGAAGTTTTTAGTTCCACATTAGAGATAGAGAGAGAGAACATTCCCTCTCATGTATGTGTGCCTTCTCTCTCTCTCTCTCTATCAGTTTCAGTTTCAGTTTGAACGAGGAACATGTTGTGTTGGCTTCTTTCTAAGGGATTGTTCACGTTGGGTTGCCGCAATTTGCTGCTTATTTGCTGTGGAAATGTTCATTAATGGACTTTTCATGGAGTCTTTTAAGTCCAAGTCATTATAAATAGTGGTGGTCAATGACTTCGGCCACCCCAATTCATAGACATAGGTGACACTTTCCAAGCATTTGAGAGGGCAAGGCTGCTTTACCCAACTAATTCACACGGGGTTATTCCTATCAATTTCCATTTATATTGTATTGCGATTAAATTTATACGCTTGATTTTATCTCATGTCAATTTAAAAAAAAAAAATCCTCTATAAATCATATTTAGTCGGGTTTATATCTTGTTTAACTGAGTTTGTGTAACTCAATTAAGGCTAAAAAAATTGATTTATTGGAGAGGTTTAACAAGTTTTTGTATGTCATTAGCTTTTTAATTGGCAAGAGACCCAACCTTTAATTATAGCACGGCTAGTGTTTGTATGACATTAATTATTTAGTTTGGCGTGCCTAACTTCTTTCAAAGCTAAACTCGCAGCAATTAATTAGTTTGGCGTTGATTTTTTTTATTGGATTGACAGATCAAATAGGAAATTATCAACACTACTTAACTCATAAACACTGTAACCCTAACTCTTTTGAGTGATTTAATGATCGAGTTTAACTTCTGATAATTTAGAAATCTCAAATTCAACACTTCTCATGTCTTCTAAGAGTCGGTCACCGTTGTTCATCAAAAGACGTGTTCTAAAATCGTTCAAGTTATGATGATCGAGCCCAAAAAAGTAATCAACACCCTCAATATTGTGAATTAGTAACAATGTAAACCTCACCCAAATTGTCATTCTATTTTTTTGTCGTAAATTAAAACACACGAATTACAAGTGCTTCGAGCATGAAATTATATATAAATTCACATATTATTGACGTCTCATGTGAATTACACATGATAAAATTAATCTCTATCTAATTAATAAAACATTATTTTATCCTTATGTGTGAAGTACTTGCACCACACGTGCTTTAATTTATGATAAAAAAAATAAACAATAATATAGATCAAATCCACATTACTACAAATTCATAACATTAAGTATATAAATTAAAAATTTTAATGCTTAAAGATTCAATTTAAANCCAACCTCCCCCCAACACTTTTTTTAGATCAATGGTAAAAAATGTTCAAATCAATTTACACACACCTTAAATTATTCTCTTTCTAATCTAAGTTGTAATGCCCTTGAGGCTAGACTTTCTTCAATAAACAAATGTCTTTTTGTCAAGGTAATCTAAAATTCTTTCCTGAGTTAAAAAACGCTAACAATCCCATGCTAACAAAAACGCACTTTCCACAAATTCACCCCAGTTAAACAAGATATTATTGAATTCTGATCCAGTTAGGTAACTTTTGAGGCCTCAGCAAACCGGTTCTGGGGTTTTACAAAATACCAGCCATTGGGAATCCACGGCATTGCTAGAAAATGAAACTTTTGTTAGAACCTGTACTGCATGTATGACCGCTGTGGGCCTCTACCCATTCGCTGTTGACTCGTATCGTCAAGAACCGCAAAGTCACAAGTTGTAGCACTTCAAGTTGAATAGTCTAGTGTGGAAGATAGTGCGAGTTCTTAGATGATGGCCTGTGGTTTAGTGTTGTCACTGTTTTCTTACTGTTTTCCTTCTGATATTGTACATTATGGGACCGGACGACTTGTCCATTTTTGCATGGATAATATCAAACTTTACTGTATCTATCAAAAAAAAATTTGGTTCCTATCAAAAAAAATAGTATAATAGTAGCAGTTGTGGATTTTTTTTCCCCCTTTTCTTCATTATTAATTCGATTCTATACGTCAGCTTCATCACTTGTATAGGCTTTCTTCCACCATCAATTGTGTACGTAGTCCTAATGACCATTACTACAGAATAAAGAATAGAAGATCAGGTAAATTAGAACAATCTACATCTCACCTCGTTGTCCCTCGTGTGAGAAGGCCTCTAAGTTTAAAGGTTTCACAAACTAGTTTCCAAAATGGGGACTTCCTTTAAAAGTCTTGGAAGTTGAACTGTATTCTTTTGCCCTTTCCTGCAAAAGAAATGAAAGCTTCAAACAAGGAGAAAAAAAAATAAAGAAGGCTGAGGAGTTGCTTTAAAGGGTGAGGATTTGCTTCGAAGGGCATATACATCAACGCAACGAAATGCTGTAAAACAAAGAAGGCTTTAATGATGGATTATGGGAGCTTTTCCAAGTGTAGTAAACTTGACTAGGAGGTGCAACTAGTAAGGCCATTTTTTCAGATGTTGTGGAGTCACTATCAAGCAATAAAGTCTTTTTTTGCAAGTATTACAGACATTTTTTATTAGTAGTAACTTTATCCAATTAATTTCATAAGGAATGCCAAAAATTTGGTATGCACCTCATCTACTCCTCCCAACACCCTCCACCAACCCATGCAATTAGCTTAAGTACTATCACAACGATATTTTGCCAAAAACATAATTCACTTGTTGACAGCACAATATGTAACCTGGTGATTAGTGGTTACTAGAAGTTGGAAAACGGAANCACAACGATATTTTGCCAAAAACATAATTCACTTGTTGACAGCACAATATGTAACCTGGTGATTAGTGGTTACTAGAAGTTGGAAAACGGAAACCGTAAGCACAACAACTTGGAGATCACTAACAACCACAACAAATTACAACTGTGAAATGCAAGTGAACTTTGAAAGACATTTAATGAAGCTATATCTTTTTCTGTTGGGCATGATGTCTAAAGATTGTAGTTGCACCAAGGGGTATTCTCACAATGTATGTGGTGAGTCGGAAAACCCCTTAACACCATGGAGATTCTTATTCCAACCGTTAAAGTATGTGTGGCTCATATTTACTGTGTGCACANGAGTCGGAAAACCCCTTAACACCATGGAGATTCTTATTCCAACCGTTAAAGTATGTGTGGCTCATATTTACTGTGTGCACAATGACAAGGAGACAGATGCCGGAGTGGAGCCCACAACGGCATTTGTATAAAGGGAATGCTGATTAGTTGGGGGTGCGGGAGCAACGCTCCCACGGTATGGTACAGAGGTATTTTTGTAAATATGTCCGTATTAGGGTTATATAAATATTTAAGATGTAACCCTACTTTGAATAAGAAAAAAAACGGTCGCTAGCTGTGGATGTAGGTACATTGTCGAACCACATAAATCTCTGTGTTATTTTCACTTGTTTTCTTAATTGTTTGATTCCTTATAATTCACCATAATTGTCGCACGATTACAACACCAATTGACCTAAGGATTTGGTAGTCTTTACCTTGAGGATCACGACATTAAAAGTTTGTATGAAAAATGAAACAACCCAGCTGAGTCCGCAGGAGGACCGAATGGATCTCAATTTCCAACGAGGATACCCGGAAGAGGATCTCCTGCAAGGTTGATCCCAAGCAAAAAAATGATTGCTCGGAAACAAACCGCTCACTGCTCAGCCACATAAATCAGGTTTTCCAGATATTTTATACAACGTATTACCTCAGAAGCATCTTTATATTTGAACACTTGATCACTTACAGTTTGTTTGTAATTTTGCTTGTGTCCATTTAAAATATAACCATCAGTTCAACTCATTACGTGTTTGATCCCATGATCACATCAAGTAACTTCAATGAAACACACAAATGTAATAGAGCTAGTACATGGTATGATTTAGAAAAAGAAAAGTGGTGTTCCATGACATGGTATGATGTGCTTAATTCTATAGCATGTTTGTCAAATCCCATTTGAAGAAGTACATTTACAGGATTTTGCAACAAATCGTAATAAATTATATGTATTGCTCAAATCGTCAACTTCACTAAAAATCACCGTCAGTATCTATGGCAGTTTATTTGTTTTGTAAGTCCAAATTACTATTCATCATCACCCAAACTACGAAAAATTGCCCATAGAGGTTATGGGGCGAGGATTCCAAATTCATTTATCTATTTAGTTGATCTGATCAGAACTGGAAGCCACTGAAATTCCTAGTTGCTTCCCACATTTTCACTTTCTCTGTTAGATTTGCTTTTCTCTCAAGAAAATCTCTGAGATCAGAATCATTATAAGGAGGAGGCATAGTGCAAGCTCTTTTATTGGAAGGGTTCTTCACCATGGATTGTGTCATGAAGTCCCTATCTAATCCTTTGGCCTTGCAGGCCATTGTATCTGAGCAGATTTCAACAGCTCCTGGAGGTACAGTTGGTTTATACTTCAAGAGCTTTGCATATTCATTCAACAAGTGGAACATGTAGTCATACACATGCTCTATCTGTAACTCCTCTAGGATGAATTTGCTTCCTTCCTTTCCAATCTCCCTTTCCAATCTCTTGTGCCTGAATCACAATGGAGTTGAAGAGAGAGAGAGAGAGAGAGAATTAAGTAGAACACACATGATTTAACATGCACATACATGAGGTTGACAATTTTCAACACTATATGTTTAT